ATGGGTAGGCTGGGGCCCTGTCCCACCAATCTTTACTACTCTTAGAGGCTTGCAGACTAGTGTGTGGGGTTTATAGCAACGTTATGGCCATGCTTGCCTATGTTGTTGGTTTGCTGAAGCTTGTGAGCTGTTTGATGTATTGTACTGATATTTACCTGTTTTTAGTTTTGGTATAGATATCATGGTGGCCTCGACGGCCCAATCAGGACTTCTGTGCTAGTTGGATGTTTCTTTATATGAACTCTTGGAAGTAGCTGGTTCTTTTGTAGATCTGTTGACAGGGGTCTTGCCGGCCGAGGGCTTAGTTTTAAGCTGAGATATACTTGTTTGTTTTCTTAATTGCATGTGACTGCCATGCGCTAGTAGAAAATGGTTCAGCAGGGTCGGCTCGGGCCTGAGTTTTGGCTTTAGGAGTCAGTTGCGCCCCTTGAGTTTGGGGCGTGACAATTACGATGGACATTAATAATCATGTATCAAGCAGAAGGTAGATGGTAAGTATTTAATTACCTCGTCTTCGCTCCGGAGACTCAATTTGTGTGCAAGGTACTTCTTTATGTAGGAAGACGACTTGTTCACATCCCTATTTAACCAGAAAAGAAGTATAACTTATTAATTGAAGTTAGGTATTTTGGAAAGTAAAAAGATGTATATAGTATTTGAAAGAAAATACAAAATCGGGGAGGGGGGGGGGGGTTACACTTCCATTAAGTTCTCGCTATACGAAGTCCAAGGAAGGCCCAGACCATTAGGGTTCATTATATGCAGTTTTATTCTGCATTTTTGTAAGAGGTTGTTTCCATAGCTCGAACTTGAATTGCAACAACTTTACCAGTAACGTCAAGACTTCCTATCCTTTGAGAGAGAATTCAAACAAAAAAAAGAAACTAAATTACCTCTGCCAAACTGATTTATGCATGCCACAATGGCTACTACAGTTTTAATAAAAAATGAATGAGCATCATTTCTTATATAGTTGTAAGATATGTTCAAAGTGTTATTCTCCATCTAGAACTACAAGAATATATATAGACTGGATATAATAATTTTGTAAATATTTGAATGTAATTAAAGACTTACTTGATCTTTATGTAGCGGGAAGAAATTTGTGGCTAGGGTGAAGGACCTTTCCTGAAATAATCATATCTAGTCAAACAGTGTCACATAAATTAAATTAATACAGAGAAGAGTAATACATAAAATTGAAATTCATAGAATTAAACTCACTGCTTATCACATACAACCAAAGTGAACCACATGGGATGGACTCTTTCATTCACTACTCTTGTACTACCATTGCTTGTACCTCCTATTGTCTCAGTAGTAACTCCAACTTGTGCCACATTAATATATGTTCCACCACCAACAACACCGCCACCAATAGGAGGAGGAGGAGGATTATTTGTTTCTTTTTTCTTTCTTCCACGTCGTTCCTTTTTCCTTTATCAATATTATTATTATTACTACTTGATGGTGCTTCTACAGCTTGAACAACATTTTGTTTGCTAAATTTGTATTCCTTAACTTTTGGTGAAGGCACATACTCCTCGTCCTCTTCTTCATCATCATTGTCGTCCTCATTTTCATAATCATCAAGATTGATTAGTGGAGTACTACTGATGAACTTGGAACTGACTCTTTGGAATTGTCTAAGGTGTCACCTTTTGTTACCAATTTGTTCAATGGTTCCGATAAGTCATTCATCTCATCCAATGGTTCAATACTTTTATTTTTCTTTGAGATACCATCATTTTTTGAGGACTCAACAGCATAACCAATACTCTCAACCTTCAACAAGTGATCACAAGAGTTAGTACAGTTTTCATTCACTATGGAAATTCAAAGTATTTAGAAAAAATTTAAACGAACAAGTCAAAGAATTCAACATATAGTATATATAAGTGCATTTTTTTTTGCTAAGAGTTGTCAATTGACTCCCTTTGGATGAGGATAGATCTGCCTCATGGACCTTGGGCCAACGGTCAACAAAATGTTTAGAGCTTATATATACCTAGGTTGAGAATGAGTGTGATCTACATATGTATATAATTTGAATAAAAAATAATGGCATCAGTTGAACTCACATAATCCAACCTAGATTTGGCTCGGATTCCAACCAAGTCAATTACTTTCACCTAGCACATGTTGAACATTAACTAGTTGTTCAAACTCTTTAATGACTAGACAAGAAATAATTACCAAATACTAACATATGATCGACCTATGGTATTCAGAGTCTTTAAACATGTCAATGAATGTGTGTCGGATTCTTCAAAAGTATAATTTATTTTAGAAGAATCCAACTAAAGTGCAATATTAAAAGTAACAACTTAGCGTATGACTAATTCATACTTGTTGTTTATGTTGAGTAGTTTTGCCTGAAAGAAGAGGAATGCTTGAACTTTCTGACTGATCAGTTCCCTTTATCTGATTATATCAATTATAATTGCATTTTTCATTTTAGTTTTTTCCAATAAAAATAATTGTTTTTTTTTCATATAACAACTATTACAATCCGACCCCCGACCCCCTCAATACCAAATAGGTTAAGGCCAGCTATATGAATCATCATGACTAAAACATAAAGTAGATTTCAATTGTACTTGTTGTTTATAATGAGTATCATTGCTCGAATGAAGAGGAATGGTTAAACTTCCTGGATGCGCATCTCCATTATTCAGATCAACAACATTATCATTATTTTGTGAACTTCCTCTTCTTCTTCCTCTTCCTCTTCCTCTTCCTCTTCCCCTCCCCCTTCCCCTTCCCCTTCCAGTACTACTACTCGAAACGTTGTCCTGATTCGAAACTTGATCATCAACAACAAGTGGTGTAGTATTTACTAAGGAAGAAATTGATTTCTCCTTTCTCCTTGAGCTTGTAGCAACAACAACAGGAGCAGGAGGATGAGGCGATAGATCAATGAGCATTTTGACACTATAATTAAGATAAATATCTTCACGAGCTAACTTTTTGGGTTCGTCTTTTTTGGATTTTTCTATTAGTCCAAGCTCAATTAATTCTCTTCTTTTACTTGGGAATATGTCTTTTATCCCTTGCATTTGGTGATCAGACCTGTAAAATTAAGTATTATAAGGTTATATCAATACTTATTTTTCACACATATATATACAAGGAACGGAATTACAGTTTTGTCAACTGGTTCGAGAGAAGCTAAAGTCAAATCTTGTACTTTTATTTGAAATTTTACTGATAATATGTACTCCATTTGTCTCAAATTATGTGAAAGGATACAGAGTATGAAGATTGAAACTATGAATTTGGATATAAATTCTTTAAATTTTTAAAAATGAAATGCATATATATATTTAAAAACTACACGAAAAATACTCCATATCAATATAGTTAATGAATCATAATATGCTTTATCGAGAAAAAAATCGACTCCTCAAACAATAACACTTTTAACATATAATGCTGCAACAGGTTCCTATGGTCAACATAAGAAAATCAAAATACTTAATTTGACTAAGAATTTGGGTACATATAGTTCAAATTTTTAAAAATAAAATTATATATTTGTAAACTACATGAAAAATATTGCAAGTCAATATAGTGAATGATTCAAAATATTTGAATTTTTATTTTTTGGGAAAACACTATAGTCAAAGAAAATATTATATGACTCCCCAAATAGTAACACATCCGCAGTAAAATGAGACGAAAGAAGTATATAACTCTCTCCGTTCCACTTTATGTAATATGATTTTCATGCTTTTTCAATAAAACTTACTTATCGAACGCTACAAAAAAAAGATATACGTCACTATAATTAACAATTCAAAATATTTAAAGCATAGAATTATATATACCTGATTTTCTGCAAGGGGGCAACACCTAAATCCATATTGCATTCTGGACAAACATTCCATTTCTCTTTTGATATCTTCCTCATTATGCATTTCTTGCAAACTGTTAAAAAAAATTAACATAATTACTCAAATTTCATAGAAAAAAACCATAAAAAATAAAGAAATTTGACATGTAATGAATTAAAAATAAAAAGTGACAAGAAACAAAAAAAATGTTGAACCATATTGAAACAAACTAATCATACAAGAAAGTTAATAAATAAATTGTTTAATCAAGAAACATGATAGGTAGTAAGTTCATGTATAAAAGAGGGATAATTGTACATAATGGCAAACTATTAATGTAAAATAAATAAAGTAGCTACCGTTTCATTTATTTCTTTTAAGGAGCAATGTCCCGGTCAGTTTGCTATTAATGGGCCCCACCGATTTGTATAAGTAAAAAAATGACGTTATTCCTTTTATACAATCTCTTCTTCTCGTTTATATCTCTTATTTCCTTCAATTTCTCCCAAATTTTTCTCCCCAAAATCAGTTTGAAATTTCAAATCTCCACCAGCACGTTCTCAATAGCGATTTCAAAATCCCTTCAAAAATTTCAGGTACCACCAAAACTTATCTCAATCGATTAATTTAAATTTTTGTCTATTTTTTCAGGTTTTTCAAGCTATTTTTCACATCAGTTCATAATCCATACAGAGTTTTCATTCAAACAATGGATGTCCAGTCTCCATTTAAAAGATTCACAAGAGTTATACCCTTGCATGTCTAAAATAGTGTTGAACGCCCATCGTTTTCCTTGGGTTTAACTCATGATTTTGGGGAGGTTGCAGGTTCAATGTCCAAATCCAACGCAATGCAAGAGATCAAATCCAAATTGAAAAATGACCCAATCAGATTAGAGGAAAATGAGTGCAAAATCGAAGCAATCCAACATCAAAATTATGGAGGGAGGTAAGAAAGATCAGTCTTATGTTGGGTCAAGTAAAAAAGGAAAAGATAAAACAACTAATTATACACATGACAATGCAAAAAGAAAGGAAGTGGTTGTTTCTGGCTCATTGGAGCATGATGAGGTATTTGTATAATCATTATTTTTGTATATGTTACGATTTTATATTTTTCTTATATTTTCTGTGTTAATTTATGTCTTCTATTTGTTTGTTTATACAGTTTTATATAGTCACTATGTTAATATCCAAAGTTAAATGTATAAAATAGAACTATTTAACTATACATACAAGGTAAACAATTATACATTTGAAATTGGTTGTATAATGTATAATATTTAATAGTTATTGTATTAGTAGTGTCACAACAACTTCTATATATATACAGTATAAACATTTGTGCATTTGATATAGTTTTGTGCATTATTTTATGTATAAGTTTTTTCATTTGTATAAGGATACTTTTTGTATAATGTTCCTTTAGACATATACAATTCCACAAACCTATACATATACATAAATGGTTTGTATTTCACTATACATACAATGTAAACAATTATACATTTGAATTTATTTGTATAAGTATAATATCAATAGTTATTGTATTTGTAGCGATACAACAATTTATCTATATATACAATATAAACATTTATACAATTGAAATTAGTTTGTATAATGTATTTTTCTTTATAAAATTTGTATATGTTATTTTCATTTAAAAGCTATTTCATACATTTTGATATCTGTACTTGTGTCTTAATTATGTATACATGTGTATTTTAGTAAAATTGTATATGCATTTTTTTCAGGCTGCTAAGTTTTTAGGAAAAAGAGAACCAACATGCATACCTCACATGCAGTGTTACACAATTATTGAAGTAATGAAAGTGTTAGCTACAAAGCTTACTAGTTCACAGTATAAAGAATTTTATGGAACAACATGTTTTGCCCAATTATCTAGCATTCGTAGGTGCCATGTTCAAGCACAACTGATTAGGTGCATGTTTTTTAGAGAAATTAAGGGTAACTCAAAAGATGAAATCCTGATACATGTGAATGGCACCACTTTGCGATTCACCATTCGTGACTTTGCTATAATATCTGGGTTAAAATGTTCAGACAATGAGAAGGATTTTGTCTTTAATACCGAAGAACCAAACATGATTATTCTTCAGTATTTTGGAGTCGAAAAAGCCATCACCAAGAGTCAGTTGGTTGAAAAGTTTGATAATAAGGTTTGGGGGGATAATGATGATGATGCGGTGAAGTTTGCTATATTGTTCTATATACATTCATTCATCCTTTCCGAAGAACCAACCACTACTGTTATTGATAGGAAAGACTTTGATTTGGTTGAATCAGGCAGATACATTAACTACCCATGGGGTAAAAAGGCTTTTGACCTTCTGATTCTGCATTTGCACACTAAGATCAAACACGATGGGAAGTATTTCAGGTTGTATGGTTTCCCACTTGCTTTGCAAGTGTGGTTTTATGAATGTTGTTCAAATTTTGATGAGGAAATTGTTGTTAAGGTATGTGATCACATCCCTAGGATACTTAACTGGAAGACAAAAAAAGATTTTCCTTGTCTAAGCTATTTTGCTAAGGGCATGTTTAGAGACGACAACAATCCGGTACGCACTGTACAATTATATGTATAATACTTATTATCATCCCTAGGATACTTAACTGGAAGACAAAAAAAGATTTTCCTTGTCTAAGCTATTTTGCTAAGGGCATGTTTAGAGACGACAACAATCCGGTACGCACTGTACAATTATATGTATAATACTTATTATCTGTATAAATATAGTATATATATAACTGTATAAATATGTAAATGTATAAATTTATGTATCAGTTTGTGCTATAGAAAACTATATGTATAAATGTGCTTCATGTATTATTATTTATACAAATTTTTTACAATGTACAAATATACCTATAAGTATGTGAACTGTATAAACATAAGCTCATTTGTATATATAAGCTTATAAACTGTATAATTATACATATAAGTTTGTCTAATGTATATATATATATAAAAACTGTATATATATTTTTACATTTGATTAAGGAAACATTTTGTATAATGAATATGTCAATATTTTGCAGCTTGTTTTTAAGAATATAACTCCAACTCCAATGGAACTCAAGATTCTTGAATTTCCTCCTGGGTATGTTCAATCATATCCATCTCCAACAGAAACAATATGCAGTGTTATTGTTACTTTCACAGAGTACAATTTCTGCAATTGTATAACAATCATATATCCAAAATCATGATTAAGATGCACTGTATAAAACAAACACATAATAGTTTCATATATGAATTATACATATCTTACTGAATCATATCTAAAAACCTATACGTATAAACTCTAAGAAAATATACAAATTCGAACACAAATATTACTGTGAAATGAGCGAATTTTCGATCACAAATTCAAAATAATCAACAATTTCATACAGAAAATTTTCAGATCACAAAATTTTCTAGATTACAAATTAACTATACAAATCATAAGCGTTAAACTCTATTTCGAACAAAATATACACCTCTCAATATACATTCAACTTAAATTGATGATAGTTAAAAAGGAAATCTGATTTTGAATACATGTTGAACACCATCTTCGAACAAAAAAAGCAAAATCAAAGTATGTTTTTGTCATGAAATTACCTCCTGTTGCTATCTCTACAGTCCAATGATCTCGATTGTTTGTATAGTACCGTCAATAGCTTGATCGATTTTCTGAATTGAGTTACAATGGAGTTCTTACTGTTGAAGATGACGAAGAAGGAAGGGAATTCGAATGAAACAAAATGTGCGTGACTTCAGTGATTTTTTTCCTTTTTTTTCTAACCGAAATTAACGTCTTTTTTTTTTTTAAACAATCAAAATGTATATAAACAAAAAAGACTGATAGAAAGACACATCTGTAGCAAACTAAAATTTTGCTACGGACTGCAATTTTATAAAGTTTGCTATAGCATACAATTAGCAATTTTTTATTTGCTATACGCGAAATTTTCTCAAAGAAAGACCTAGATCACATAAACCTTAAAAATGACACAAATTCTATTGGAAATTATTGGGAAGAACGATTAAAAATAAAAATTCAAGATCATTAATTCACAAGAACAAATGATTTATCAAAATCACTAATATAAAAAAAAAAACCCCATAAACAAAAATTCAAATTTTAAATTAAAAAAAAAACAATGAAAAGAATATTAAAAAATTCAAAAATTCAAGATCATGAAATCACAAATACAAATGATTTGTCAATATCACTCAAATAAAAAATGAACCCCCAAAAAACTACATTTCAATTAATCTTTTTAAAAAAATAAAATTGGAAGAACGAAAAAAAAAGTAAAAATAAAATATTCAAGATCCTCAAATGACAAGAACCAATAATTTATAAATGACTGGATTTTTAAAAAAAAAAACCAAAAAATACAACTACATACACCAATAGTCTCACAAAGTAGTGTTTGATGATATGAAGAGATAGAATGTTGTTTTCATAACTCCGCCTCGGTAAAAATAAGAAAAAAATCGAAAAGAAAGTAACCAAGAAAATAAAAAATTCAAGATTATGAAATCACAAGTACAAGTGATTCATCAACATCACTCAAATAAAAAATGAATCCCAAAAAAATTATGTTTAAATTCATCTTTAATTTTTTTTTTGGAAAGAACGAAAACAAAATAAAAAATTCAAGATCCTGAAATGACAAGAACAAATGATTTATCAAAATCATTGAAATTAAAAATAAAAAATCCAAAAAAATGACAACACACACCATTACTCTCACAAAGTAGGGTTTAAGCCTACCGACCGTAGAGATAAAAAAATAAAAAATCTTACATCTGTGACAACATTCTTCAATAATTATGACATCTTTGCATAGCTTTTTGCAAATTCCACATGTCAAAACACTCTTCAAACCAGCTAGACGTTTCTCAAAATCATTCATCTTCCTTCATACACTGCAAAAAGAAAAGAAAAAAAAAGGAAACTAAAATCAAATATATTTGTTCCTTAATTATAAACATATACATTCCAATTTTGCATATAAACCATATATTAAAAAAAATCATACTAAGAGAAAAAAATAAT